TTATAACTAATTAAAAATATTGATAGTTTTTTGGTATAAACTTTAAATTTTTAATGATATTATATTTAAAATTGATTAATTTATAATAATATAGCAATTGATGATAATGTTTTATTTAGAAAAATATAAAATATATAAATTGGAAATAGTTGAAAAAAAACCCGCACGTTATGTGCGGGTGTTCACCTAGTAAAAATAAAATTTGAAAATTCTTTTCTCCGAGAAATTTTACTTGCAAATAGAGTATCCATCCTTCTTTCCTTAAATTCGCATTTGATTTGATGCTATCTTCAACTTTGGCTATCCGTTGTATCTCATGTTGTATTACATTGACCCATTCCCAAATAGGAGCTAAAGATGTTCGTCGAATAAGAACCCAATTTACTGATTCTTTCGATCGAAATAAAATATGGGACTACCAATTTTCAACGGCTGTACGAATGTCGCCATACAACAAGGATGCATCTTCCGCTCCAAACCGTCTTACTTTCCATGATGGTTTCCATGGAAGTAAACCCTCACTCAGAAAAGCAAAATCATCGGAAAAAATCAGACTATAAGTACCAGAACTATATAATTTTCCAGGAACACATATTCTCCGACCAATGCACCAATATGATTTTCAAGAAAATGGATTGTTAGTTTTACCACCAATCCAACACAAAAACCGATTGAATCGGAAATAAACTCTGCATGAGAGAGAGAAAACGGTTACCCGGAACGGATCATGCTTGCAGAAATTGAAGATAGACCACTAATAAACTTCAACACAACCGATCATCGTAGATACCGTCTGGATCGAAATCAGGCTGGAGAAACTAAAAACTGATGAACCATCATCGTCACGCTAAGTTTATCACCGAATCGCCTTTGAATTGAAAACAGATTGCAGTGATTCCACCAATTTTATTTATTTATATTTTTTATTAAAAAGTTTTTGCCACCAATTTTATTTAACCAAAAAATGTAAATTAAATTTAAAGAAAATTTTAAAAATATTATCTCGCACAATGTGCGGGTTAATTCATAGTTTAATTATTATTTTATTTATATACAATGTTAAGAACCCCTTCTAAAACTCCCTATTAGAGATGGTCATCAAATAGTTAGGGATGACACTGAGCAGTGGTGAGCTTATATGCAATGAGAGAGGTTGAAAAGCACTTAATATCATTTAATGTTTTTAGAAGATTTGAGTAAAATATACATTGTTAATGAATATCGATAAAAAAAGATTCTACTCTGAAGTGAGTTCTAATCAAACTTAATTTGTCTTCATTCTACAAATATATAGAGACACATATATTTTGTACTATGATCTTTATAATTTTTTCTTAACTAATTTTATTAAATTGAAATTGTTAGAGCGGAATCACTTTTTGGCAAAAAAAATGGAAATATGTTTTTAACAAAAAATGCATAATGATGTTTTTGCCGATTAAACGTATAGTCACATTTTTGCCAAAAAATGCAGAACCACGTTTTTTAAATGAAAAATATGGAATCATGCAACTGGCAGAAAAACACAAAATTACATTTTATCGGGAAAGTGTGTAATCATGTATTTGCTGAGAAAATGTAAAAAAAAAATATTTTTAAAATAAAATCATGTAATTGTTAGAAAAACACACAATTACTTTTTTGTCGGAAAAATTTGAAATCATGTATTTGATGAGAAAATAAAACTAATGGTTTTGTAAGGGAAAAGTGGAATCATACAACTTGTAATTATATTTTTTTGGTGAAATATTGTGAAATTACTTTTTTGGCGATAAAATGTTAAATTTCATTTTTGAGAAATATTTGGATGAAAACACTAATTTTGATTTGGTTAGGTATTTTTTAAAAATAATAGATTCTTTTTTTGATATATAAATTAATAGATTCAAGAAAATCAATATAAATAAATAACTTTATGTGATCAAAACGAGAAGTTTCAAACCAAAAGCAAAGCCGAGAGAACAGCCAAAAAAAGCAGAAAGAAGAAGATCTGCGCCACCGAAAACGTGGAATCATGGCAGCTCGATTGTTTCAAAAACAAAAAAAAAAGAGGGAGTAGGGGCTAGGAGACACCTCACTATGAAGCCCATCATTTGTCGTCGTCCCCGCGTCACAGCCTAGTTCACTCATCTTCTCCGACGTACTCTTCAAGCTATTCTCCGATCAATTTTTATCAAGAAAAAATACAAGTTCGGATATTTATCTTCTTCTTCGATCTCACCACCACGATCTTTACATCAAAGTGGAGTTATTAGCGACAAATTTGCTAATACAGTATTAAGGATGAACCAATTTGGAAATATGAGAACGTGGTGTTTAGCGTTACTTGATAAAGAAGAAACCAGGGAAGAAAGAGCCTTAGGGTTTTTCATAGCCCGTACAAATATGGTAGAGGTCTTTGATAACCGGACAGAGACGTCAAATACAAAAGCTAAGTTTCACATAATCCTATTATTGTCGTTTCCAGAATTTTGGTATATCGTTGGTTTACAATAACCAATTGGTATTAATGTCGAACTACTTTATGCTCTACTGCATACAAAAAAATTAAATTATATGGTCTCTTTACACGTCTCTTCCTCCCATGGCAGACTTTCTCTCCTTACCTCGTGCCAATTGTTGATACTAAGTATCACACAAAGAGTTTTTATTGATGGTATAATTGAACTCAAGATGAGCTGCCTACGTACTTTTGAGAAGGGATCAAGTCATTCGTAGTTCTGTTATTAAAGTTGTAAATGATACTTGAAAGAAGATGAGTCTCTTCTATATATAGGGTTTAGAATCGGTCTCTCTGGACGATTTCTTTTTTCTATTTGGATTCGGGAATATTTCCTTTTCTTGGATAAGATTAAGAAATATTTCGTAAAATTAAGATGTTATTGCCGATATTATAAATCGGGCTTTAGAAGACCATAGGCTATTAATGGGCCGAATATATTTTGGATATGAACCATCGTAAATCGGGATCAGTTGGGCCGATCTCGGTTCATTCCGAGATAAACCGGGGGTACGGAGTACACCACCAACATTGACTATAACAAATATAAAGAGATTTAATCCATTTATTATAATTAGGGTTGATACCGCGCTTCGCGCGGATTGTAATTTATGTTCATGTTCTTATATGTTTTATATGTTATTTTTAAAAAAATAATTTGTTTGATAATTGTTTTCTTAGTTTAATAGTTTTATTTTTAAGTTTGCATTGTGTTAACAATATATGTGTTCTGATAATTATCGTTACTGGTGTGTCTATATAACAATAAATTTTTCTTAATTATGTTAGTAACTTCTGTAAAGTTTTATTTTGTATGCTTTTATATTTTATCTGTCACTATTATGTGATTATTAATTATAATTATTTAAATTAGTTTTTTTCTTCCAACTCTTTTATTTTTAATCAGCTATTATTAGAAATTGTTGAATAACTAATTCATCATATTTATCTTTTTTTTTTAGATTTTTATACTTCTTCTCCATCTTCATATTCTCATAATTTGTTATTTTTATTATTTGTTCTCTTTCCTTATATTTAACGTCTTTGTCTTCGTATTTTCTAAAATTTCTCTTCATTAGTTTCGTGTTCTTCATTCTCTTATTTTTTTTTCATTTTTCTCTAGTCTTTAACTTCTACTTTCTCTTTTCTTTTTTTTTAGTTTTTCTTCATCTTCTTATGATATTATTTCGCATTCATCTGAGTCTTTTTTATATATTTTGATATTTTTTCTTCCTTCTTTTTTTTAATTTTTTCATCATCTTTTTAAATTCTTTTTAATTATCATCATTTCTCTATTTTTTCAGTATAAATAATATATCATTTTTAATAATATATAGGAGTATATTTTTATTCCAGTTAGTATTACAATTTTTTATAAGTATTAATATCTAATTGCCACTTATTTTTTATTTATATTAAATTTATTTTATTTTATCTAATTTGTATTAAATATACTAATAATAAATATAAGGGAAATTCTCTTATATGGCCCTAAAAAACTTAAACTTGATAAATTTAAGAGAAAATTTCTGAATGGGTAGTTTTTAAGTTTTAAATTAGAGAAATAAGATGTTTACAAAACCAAGGAAGGATAAGGCTGTTTTTACTGTTTGTCTCCCCACAAGGGCCCTAAGGCTATTTTTTATTTTCAAAATTGCCATTATTGAAGTAAAATAACTAAAAATTGCTGATTAAATCCGATTTGGTAAACCGATTACACAAATTTATAAACCGAAGTCCAATATCATAAACCGAAGTAAAACCAAATGTATAATTTATCGACACCCCAACATTTAAATTAAAAATTAAATTTGGGATCCACATCTCGACGTAGTCCATCTAGCATCTCGGGCAATTCATCTCCGATTAGCCATCCGATTGACCGTTGTAATGGCGCGGAGAGTAAAAAAATCGTTAAGAAGCAACAACACCGTGCCTCCAGAGTCGAGGCGAGTGCTCCGGAGTAACTCGAAGACAGCTCCGACGGAGCAGTCGCCCATACCGCCCATGCCACCGCGACGGAGTGACCGGGTTGAACATCCCATTCACGCGAGTCGTCTCAATCCACGCCGGCGGTGTAGATCCAAAGTACAATTCGCTCCTCTTCTTCTAGAATGGCCTGCTCAGAATTCTAAAAGTAAGTTACATTTATGAACTTCGACCTTGTCTGAACTATACTGGCGGTTTGTAACTCAAATTAAGATTGAAACGTGGCACCTGATTGGCCTGATTTATGTATTAGCGGTTATGAACTCTAGTACTTATGTCTATATATTGAATTCAAACAGTTGGATTACTCTTATATGTTCTAGAAACAGTTACAGAAGTTTATATAGGAGAGCATACGAATAGGGTAGTTTTTCCAGATCTCTGTTCTCTCTTTCGAACTCCTTCGAACTCCTTTCCCTCAAACTTTTCCCCTGGTTTGCATTTAACTGTTTATCCAGAATATTATATCTTTCCTGCATTTCGGAATTGTTGTTTTGGTTCAAATACAGCAATGGAAGACGGAGAACCTTCGAATACAGGCATGGAAGATGGAGAAGCTTCAAATAACCTTTCGGAAAAACTACCAAAAAGGGTCCTCGGCGATGGTTGCTACCCCGTTGGTGCTCAGTTAAACATATATTCAAAGGCCAATGTCATTGGCCTCCTTGTTGAGGCGTTAAAGGGTACTGAAGATCTTGAGAAGCTACTTCATTCCCAGTTTGGGAAGTTATTCCATCTACCTGTTGCAAGATGTTGCAACAGCGCCAAACTAGTTCATGCCCTTTTATCACGATAACTTGTGACCACGAAGAAACACGAGATTTGGTTCCTCTTTGGTGGACAGCCTCTGAGATATTCGATACGGGAGTTTAAGGAAATCACTGGATTGAATTGCCATCCCGAACCTGATAGCACAGAAGAAGAAGAAGAAGAAGATGTCGGAAAGACAGGAATCTGGAAAGACCTGTTTGGAAGAGCGAGCGCTATGAACGTTTTTGATGTGCTAGAAATGCTAAAGGACCCAGATCTACCCCGATGGAAACGGCTTCCATTGGCCCTCACCGAGAAATACGTTGAGATGTTGACAGACTTGGATAGGTTCATGCTGTATCCATGGGGGAGGGTATCCTTTAACAAAACAGTATCTCGTTTTCAAGCTCCGAAGGCAATCACGGATGCCGAGAAAAGGGAGAATCCTTTAACACGATTGCGCCGTCAACTTAAACAGAAAACCAGTGCATGCTATGGCTTCCCTCTATCACTACAACTCATGGCCCTCCAATCTATACCAATGTTGGTTTCCAAAATTCCTCAACCTGATAACTTGAAGACTTTCGTTGAAGATCCCGAAGGATGTCAAAACGTTATCACACTATTGCATCTTGGGGACATACTTGCCGTGGAATCCGACCCTCTCGTAAATTATTTGTAGTATTATATTTAGTACTATTTGTAGTCTTATTTTGTAGTACTTGTCTTAAAAGATAAGTACTCTGTCATTTTGGTTGGTAATTTTGCAATTGTTGTTTTTTTCTTAGTTGTCTGTGAAACAGATGGTAGTGGATGATGGTGACAATGACCAACAGAATGAATTGCGTTGGGGAGATGAGGTAGAGGATGCCAAAGTTTCATTCATGCAGGAACTCATGGCCGAGGAGTACAAATTCACACCTTCGGATTTTGCAGTGGCATCGACACCTATCGTGGATCTTAGTGATGCAGAGGACGAGGTTACCAATGAACAGGAACCTGAGCCATCCACCCGACCGAAGAAGAAACTGAAAACTCATCAAACTGAAAAACGTAAGATGCAGAGGAAGAGAGGCAGGGGCAAGAACTCTTCTAATCTATCGGAAGATGAAACCCCTCAAAGTGGACAGATTGAAGATCTTAAAAGACGGATAGTAAGTCAGACTAATTTGCTCCTTCGTAAGATTAAGACAGAGTTGGACAAGAGATTGGGCGTATACCAACAGGACGAAGAAGATAACGATGTACACCAGTCAAAAGAAGATGGGGAACAGGATGACAAAGGACAGAATCCAAAAAAAGGTGGTCAAAAACCGGATGAAGATGAAGACGAAGCCAAAGATGGAGGTGAAGAAGGAGGTTATGATAGTGCACAGTCTAGCGTACGCCATGATGATGGTGTACACCCCCAAGATGGTGTACACCAGAAAGAAAGAGATGATGAAGAAGGGACCTCTACTTACTACGGCGGGGACCATTATTCTCCCAGGGACCATGCGTAATTGAAGACTCCAGAAGCTCCGACGAAGACCCCTGAACCTGAACAAGCCAATTCAGGAACAACTCGTCCACGTTCTTACTTTGTCAATCGGGATGAAGATCCACCTTTTGGACTCAACGAGGTGAGCTAATTGTTTAGTCAGCAGCTGACTCTATTAAGTTTCATAATGTGTGTGTACTGTGCTATGTTTTTTATGACTTATTCAGGTGGATGGTGGTAGAACAAATTTGGTGTCAGGCACCTTAGTAGTCTACAAACCTCAGACTCCTCACCCATTGAGCTACGCATATAAGAAAAATGAAGCGCAGACAGATGCACTGGATGCACAGGTCAGACATTAAACTTGTTCATTTGATATGCATGTGTATACAGTACTCTTTAGGTATACGCTAGGTATACGATTGATATGTTATACGCTTTATTGTTCCGGTGGTTTGTAGGCTGTGGCTAATGAGGAGGACTCAAATGTGGAGAAAGATTACCATACTGCACCTGAGGATGCAAGTGATGCTTCGCAGAAGACCCCTTGTACTCCAAAACCCCCACAAGAAGTTGAGGGATCGTCTGGTGTAAAGAGAAAAAGTAGAGGAACAGGAAGAGGAGGAAGAGCTAGAGGAACAGGAAGAGGAGGAAGAGCTAGAGGAAAACGCGCACGCATACGGTCGGACAAGATTCGAGATATTTGCACCGCAGATTCAAAGGTGAAAGCTCTATTTGTATCCAGATCAAAAGCTCCGTACAAACCACTCGAAAAAGACCACTTCAAGGCATTCCAGGAGTTATTATCGCGTGAAAGAAACATGGAAGTTATATCGTATTCAAAGCAATTTATCCTTAAACTTTCATTGTTATCAATTACCAATTGCTCTCATTTCAGCGACTTTTGCATTGTCACTGGTCATACTGTGAACAATCAATTCTTCCTACAAATTGCGAAGCCTACTGAGTGGGTTAACACGATGGTAAGTATATAGTTAGTACTTACTGAATCTTTAATTATCTGTAATATATGTTATTTATGTTTTGTTATTTGTCAGCACATGCAAGTCATAATGGCCATGCTTTGGAGATGTAGAGGTGAAATATACTTGAAAGACAAGGTAGCATTTGTAGACACCTTGTTCATATCCATCATCGGCAACTACTACAACGATTTCATATCTGGAGGAAAAAATCAGTATGACTGGGGGAAAACCATTCAGGGCATTGTATTGGGAAAACCTGCAAAGTGGGCTAATCAACGTCAGAGGCAAATGTTTCTACGGTTTGTGGACGTTGTATACGTCCCGATGAACTGGGGGTCTGAGCATTGGGTGGGCCTTGTAATTGACTTTAAAATGGGCAACATAAAGATTTTGGACTCATTCATCAGTCATAATGATGAAGCGGCTATGGAGCAGTATATGGTGCCCATGTGTCAAAGTATGCCATTTATATTGAAGCGTTATTTGGATAGCAAATTAACGGAAGGCCTACGCACCACCCCTTACACATAGAGTCGTTTGGAGGGCATATATCAGAACAAGAGATCCGGTGACTGTGGCCCATGTGCGGCCAAATTCTTAGAGATGCATGCTGCAGGGCTTGGAGTGGAAGATATGGGTTTGATAACGGACGATGACATTGACAGGTTAAGGGAGAAATAGCCATGGACTCATACGAAGAGTTTGTTGGGAATCCGGCTGTTGCCAACGCTTAAGACGAATGGTGAAGTTTAATGTTGAACTTGACAATTTATGAAAGATGTATTTGTTGGATTATGTGTTTGATAATGTTTAGGATGTGGGTTTATTTGATAATTTATATGCTTATAATCTATTAATTGGTGTGTCAATTCGTAGTTCGGGGAATAATTTGGTAGCCGTACACCAATATGCGTTTAGTTGTACATCAAATGCATCAAATGGTGTACATCAAGATTAATTTGGTTATACTTTAATTTATTTTAGTATTTATTAATTGGTGTGTGAATACTTTGTTCCCGGCTTAATTTGTATCTGTACACCAATATCCATTTAGGTGTACATCAAATGGGTGTACAACCAGAAAATTTTTTGTTTACCCACCAATTTTACAAACTCATTTATAATCTGAACGGTAACCGCATTTAATGTATACGCTCTCAGCTAGTGGGATTTTTTAATAATTATATATATATGCAACATAAACAACCGTTATCCTCACAAATCCTAAACCACAGTTATTCCTTCTCCATAAACAACCGTTTTCTTCACAAATCAACCTCACAAATTAACTATGGCACCAAAGAGAGGGCGATGTGATGCAGATATCCGTGATTGTCAATCCCCTCTGATGGCGCTACCCGACGATCTATTAGAGAAGGTTCTCGCATACAGTTGCAACTCCGTCCAACATATTTTCACACTAAAGCAAGTTTGCAAACGGTTCCAGGCCTGCACAGAAACCAAAAATTTTCTAGCATCGGTTGATCCCGTGGAATTGGAGATGCCTATTCCCGAAGATTTCGATATGCATTTTATCGCAAATTGGGAATTTCCCAACTTGTTGAGGAGGATGTATGACGCACGCAATCCCGGTTTGCTGTTCATGAAGGGGATGCAAGACTACTTCTGCCGTGGAGACAAATGTGACATAAAACTCATCAAGGAATCTGCAGATATGGGTTACGAAACAGGTATTTACATGTATGGCATGTACATGAAAGCAGTGGTCGAAGACCCCGTGGGTTTAGAGTATTTTTTAAAACTAGGCAGCGGGGCAGTGAGGAGAATAATTCGGAAAATTATTGATCGAGGTGAGCGTGGCTATGTCAATAATTTGTCTGAAGAATTCTCGAAGAGGAGATTTGAAACTAATGCTCAGTTTGCCACACTTTGGTCTTGTCGCTGTGGTGTTGCCAATGCTCAACTTGATTGGCATGACGAATTGTTAAAGGGGCCAAGCATGTGCACGTCGTGTTACTGGGCACAGGAAACGCAAAAGTTCTTCGTATTTGTTTGGTATGCAGTGAGGTCTGGGCCTTCAATGGAAAAATGGTGACTAATTGGTGAAACTCAACCAGTTTCGCTGTGTACACCTCGGTGTGTACACCTGCGTTGTGTACACCTCGGCGTTGCTGTTATTTCAGAATTCATCGATTAGATTAGCATCCGCGAATATATTTTTTTGGTTTATGTAATCGATTAGATTCCATATTTCGTACTTTATGATTTAATCTTTTGTTTAGGATCTGTACACGTACTTATTTAGGCCTTCTATGTATGTAGGTGTACTTTGTTTTGGTTTCTATCTATGTATACTTTAATTCTGTTGACTTTAATTAATTTCGGTGGGTGGTTGTGGCAGTTTTTCGAGAAGCATTATCTTTTTTATCCTTAAAGTCTCAGTTTACCTCTCTCTGTACGCCTAATAACTAGAAAAAAGAACTACTCAATCTGGACTCAATATGTACACTTAAATTTGTACACCTGAATGTTACAGACATTTATCACATATTATATATTTTGAGTATACAAACGACATTATCTCTTTCGTGGGAATTTTCGGAGAATATTTGGTATACAAACGTAATTATCTATTTAAAGTCTCACCTTACCTATTTCTGTACGCATATTTTCAAACTAATCATGATTTCGTCTATGTGGACTCAATCTGTACTCTATATCTCGGTTTATGTGATGTTGAGAAAAGAAATATAGTTTCCAAAGTATAAAAAAGGTCTGTGTTGTTATTGAAATTTCGATTTAATCATAAATAATAATAGTATTGTGGCAGAAATCATAAATGTATTGTGGTATATCATAAATTAAATTAAATCATTCATCATAAAAGTTTAACGGTGAAATTTGCTTGGATTTGGTTATTCTCTGTATTTATTGTGGTAATTTAATTTTGCCGGTAAACGAAAAGACACTTTTTCGTCTCTTTTCAACGTCTCTCTTCAAAGACAGCTATTCGGCTCTATTAAAACCGCACTACCTCTTTAAATTCAATCCCTTCAGTGTAACATCATACTTACAACCATCATAACTTCCTCTTTCATTCCATTTTCAATCCTTTCTCCTCTTCCTCAATCCATTTTCTTATATTTTCTCTTTTCATCGAAATAAACGATGGTTTCAAGGAAAAACAGAGGTGGTGATGGTGATTTTTCCTATCTTCTCTCACTCCCTGATGAATTGCTGAAAACAATTCTGGCCGCTACAAACCCAACTATAAGGGAAATAGCCCGCCTCCGTGCTGTATGTTCTCGTTTCAACCGTATCGCCACAAGCAGGGGTTTCTATCGAGCGATTGATCCCGCCGAAATCGTGCATGAACAAGCGGCGGTTCCACATTACCCACCGATGATGAGGAGATTCTATGACGCGGGTAATCCAGGGGTTATTTTCCAGAGGGGGATGCAAGCCTACTTTTTCTTCCACGATGGTGAAGGCGTGGAATTGCTAAGGGATGCTGCGGAGAGAGGCTACGACCGAGCCATTTTTGTGTACGGGGTGTGGCTCAGAGCAGTGCTGGAAGACTTCATCCGTGCAGAGGAGTATTTGGGCAGGCTCATGGTGCCAAATTGGAGGAGGATGAGCCGGTTGTTGCTGGCCGACGTTCCACACGGATGGAATTTCGATTTGCCAGTCGATTTCGCTGAGAAAGCGGCTGCCTTTCATCCGAGATTCCTAGTGCTGTACACCTGTCAGTGCGGGGTTATCAATTACTGGCTCCAGTGATTTGCAGAAGATTATAAGCAGCCAAAGTGCACAACCTGTTTCTGGGCCCAAGAGACCCAAAGGTTCTTCCGCTTCATTGGAAACGTCGTTCTAAGCTGGCCGTTTATGCTCGATTGGTGAAAGCCGTAATATTAGTATTTTGTTGCATTCGTGTCTCTTTAATTATTTATGTTGTCATTCCGAACTACAACGGATGTTTTCCAAATTGCATGTCTACTTTCGTTTTTTAGTTGCAACTCTTACTTTTGTATAAACATAATCTATCTTAGTAGTTGATTTTATGATATTTATGATACTTATGTTCCTAAATGTAGTAATTAATCATAAAGGTGTTTGAAATTTTTTTAAATATGGAGAATTTGGCCTTTCCCAAAATCGAAGTGAAAGTGGCTGGATATCATTTCATCTAGGACAGTAATTAATTATGTACACCTATTCACTGTAATTATTTATGTACACCTATTACCGTATACCTATAGACGTATAGACGTACACCTACTTGCGTATACCTATAGACGTACACCGACTTACGTATACCTATTACCATATACCTATAGACGTACACATACTTACGTACACGGGATCAGAAACAGATTGGAAACATAAAGCAGTTTGAAAATAAAATAACATTACACATTTTTTAAAAACGATGAATACGTAAACCGATTTTAGCGTATACGTACACCTATATACGTCCACGAACATTGGTATACGGGATCGTATACCTTTTTAGACATAAGGCTGATAGACATAAGGCTGTTTTTAAATTTCATATTTTTTTGCTATAAATAGCACATCGATACTAAAGCATTTTTGCTATGCGTTCTGCCAAACATCTAAGATAACATTTTTCACATGTCACAATTTAATGCAAATTCTCGTGATACACTTCGCACGACGCAGAGGTGTCTTCATGAATGAGACTGGGGTACCTGAACTTTTTCTTGTATGTATGTTTATTACGTGGGCAAAATGACCAGAGTAAAGATACTATGTCTTTGGCGACTTCACGAATTTCACGAGAATCATGAGGATAGTGGTACCTGAAAACCATCTTCAGAAGTTTTTTCCCTCTGTTAGGGCGACCCACGCACATTTGCAAAAATGGCACAGCTGTAAGTGGCATAGACATCTGATGGAACGAGCTTATTTAGCATCCTGATGGCGGTATAGATCTTCTCCTCTGTTGACACGAACCTTATAGCTTCGACCAATATGGCCCGTGGATTTCTTGACGCTAAGCAGCGCAGGAATAAAGGCCGATATACTCCTCCAGGGTATATCCGAGATGGTGTGTCATGCAATGTCCATAGGTATGCCGATCTGAGTACTTCCGCGCTAAACGAAATGTCTCTACCACGGGTCCCTGCCAGAATAATCGGTCCAAGGTAGATGCAGTCAGACTCAGCAACTTTCTTGACAATCATTTCGAAAACATGATCTGGTAAATATGGTAAATCTGGCATTTTTGGGAAGGTTATAGGGTTTGTGTAGGGTGAACTTTCTTCGCAATATTATGAAACTAGATATTGAATTCGATGGGTACTTCTTGTTGAGAAATAGTTAATGGTAAGACAATTAGTAGTTGCAGGGTTTAGTGTGTAGATGAACAGAAGTAATATTACAATAAGTTTGTGAAGTGATGTTTACCAACTACAGAAATTAAACTACTAGTTACATTGTTACAACTAGTTACGTTCTTAGTAGCTACTTGTTACAATAAGTTTGTGAAGTGATGTTCACTTACTTTCTACTTTTAATTTATTACAAAAATTAAACAAGTACTTGCAATTAAAATAACTAGACTAAAGAAAATATCTTATGCGCAGAGCCGTGCATTGTAGAAGACAATACTCGTAGTCTGGTGTATTTGTGCCATCGTAATGGTCATCTACACACTCCGATATAGGTTCTTCTTGTAGGGTGATGGGGAAGGACCAAAGGCTACCCCACGTATCTTGAAACGGCCCCAGAGCGAACTCCCATACGTGAC